GTTGTGGTGGCACAGCAGGGTTTCAATTATGGTGAACAGGAACGTCTTGGCGCGATCACTCAGGTGGACGCGAGTTGCACTGGTGACGCCATACAATGGCGTTGAGAAAGAGATCTATGACGTCAGAAGCAGAACTTGTGCGTAGTGCAGCAGTCTCTGTGTACCGTGTCAGGTGATCGACAGCAGTCACAATCAAACGATTACGTGCTGGCGTGATGGGGAGAGGTCCGAGTAGGTCTATACCAACGATGGTGAAAGGAGTCTCGGGACAAGGGATGAGTTGCAGAAGGCCAGCAAGAGACGAAGTTGGTCGCTTCCGCCATTGACACAGATGGCAAGATGCAACGTATTATGCCACAAAGGTAGAAGTGCAGGACAGAAGAAACGTTTCCTAATGCGGCTTTGTGTTTTGTGAAACCCGAAGTGGCCTGCACATGGGTCGTCGTGAAAGGCTTCTAGGACTTGGTGACGCAGACAACGCGGAAGTTCTGGAACCCAGCGGTGTCCATCAGTAGCGTAAACGTAACGATGGAGCGCATTGTTATCGAGCTTAAATTGGCGTAGTTGTCGGCGCAATCTAGCATCAGGAGTAGGTGATATGCTATTTAGGCGTGGGATAATGCGATTGCAATATGGACCATCACACTGGCGTGTGGCGAACTCGGTGTAGCAATTTGAAGCCGGCGTGTCGATAATCGCGTGGTGTGATAATGTTAAGGGTGATGCAGTGTCTTGCCCAGGAGAAAAAGAATAAGCTGACTTACTGGATAATGACAGTGGAAGAAGGCAGCGAGATAGAGCATCTGCATCTTCGTGTCTTTTGCCAAACTTATAAATGACGTCAAAATTGTACTCTTGTATGCGGAGCACCCAACAACCGAGGCGACGAGACAGGTTTCTGAATGACAATAGCCAGCATAATGCATGATGGTCTGTAATAGCTTGATTTATTTGATTGATATGTGGGATTGAACGTCCCAAAATCATCATATGATTATGAGAGATGCCGTAGTGGAGTGCTCCGGAAATTTCGACCACCTAGGGGGCTTTAACGTGCACCCAAATCTGAGCACACGCACTTACAACGTTTCCGCCTCCATCAGAAACGCAGCCGCCGCAGCCGGGATATGATCCTGCGACTTGCGGGTCAGCAGCAGGGTACCTTAGCCACTAGGCCACCTCGACTGGGCAGTCTGTAATAACTGTGAAGTGGCGTCCGTAAAGATACGGCTGAACTTTTTGTATGGCCAAAATCACAGTGAGGACCCCTGCTCAGTTACGGAGTAGTTCTGTTCAGCAGCCATAAGAGCCCGAGTAGCATAAGCAATAACTCTTTCGCTTGAAGTGGCATCGCGCTGTAGAAGGACTGCACCAATGCCATGGCCACTCGCGTTGGTGTGCAGACATGTAGGTGCGATCTCGACGAAATGGCACAGTAAATGTCGGATGTTGAAGCATGCTTGAGGGCTCTAAAGGCACGCTCGCAGTCGTTGTTCGAAGCAAAAGTTGATCCGGAAGTCAGCAACTGGTGCAGCGGCGATGCGATGGCAGCAAATCGACCGATGAAGTGGTGGAAGTAGAACGCTAGGCCCAGGAAACTTCATAGGTGTTTCTGATTTTCTGGCCCAGGGAAGCGTATCACGGCAGCAAGCTTGTCAGGATCCAGCCGAACGTTTATAATTTCTGACAAGGTGGCCCAAAACCTTGATGTTCTTGTTAGTGAACTGGCATTTCTTTGTGCTTAGCTGAAGTCCAGCATTAGAAATACACATCAAAACTTCGTCCAAGCGATCAAGATTTCGACGAAAATAAGAAGAGGGAATGACGACGTCATCTAGATAGCACAGACAGGTTTTCAATACTAGGCCACGTAGAACTGTGTCGACCATGCGCCCAAACATGGCAGGAGCACTACATAAGCCGAATGGCATGACTTTGAGTTCATACAGCCCGCCTGGTGTTGCAAACGCAGTTTTTTCTTTGTGGGCTTCGTGCATAGGTATTTGCAATAACCAGACCGTAGGCCGAGGCTGGAAAAAAATTCAGCGCCTTGCAGAGAGCGAAGTGCGTCGTCGACTCGTGGCATTGAGTATACGTCTTGGCGCGTGATATTATTAGGTGTTGCAGAATTGCACCGAATGCACGTTCGCACCAATGCAGAATCGCACCGAGTCATCCTTCTTTCGGACTAGCAGTACAGGTGATGACGACGAGCTGAGAAGGCGGGATAACATCTCATTTGAGCATATCAGCAACGTTGTCCTCGATGATTTTTCTGCTCTAGGGACGACACTCGATATGGGCGGCAGCGTACAACTGTATTGCCTCCCGTTTCAATTCGATGTAAGGCGACGGATCTTGAACGGAACGTCCCACAGATCGGGAACACGTGAAACGGGCCGTTCAACGCGCTTCCCGCACAGCCGCAACGCACGTGCCGGGACCCCTACTGCACGCAAGCGGGGGACAAATAAACCAATTCGCGACGCTGTTTCACCCT